ATTATCCGGTTAGACTTGCTATAATAATTTACAAGGTGTCGTTGTCGTTTCGGCTGCTGGTTGTGCTGTTACTGATCCAGTCGTGTCCAATTACCAAACTTCTGTATATTTTTACTCTCTTATCGTCTTAATTTTGAGCAATTTAAGAGCGAAATATTCTGAAAATAACCTGTAGTATAGATAATATACGTCTTCAATTATGAAATATGAGAGAATCTTCCTTGGTCAGAGGAGGAGGCAGAGGATAAGATAGAGGGAGGTAGGAAGGAGACGGAGGGAGTTGGGAGAAGGAGAAAGGGAGAGAGGTGAGAGAGAGATAGACAAGCAGGTGGGAGAGAGAGAGATAGAGGGAGGTGAAAGGGTGGGAGGTGTACGGTACTTACCCTGGAGAGTGTGTGGGCTGACCAGTGTCCACGTGTACCTGTGCCAGGAAGAAAGATACTCTTAGTTAAGCACACTACACATACACACACAGAGCTCAACCTTCATTACTCCTGTTTGATGAGTATGAGGATGGGGTAGACATGAACCAGTGCAAGGTAAGGAATAGTAGTATCAGTGTGTGGTACACTAATGCAGATGATTATCTAATAAGAGTGATGAGATGAAGGAAAGAACAGCTAAGGTCATGCCAGACATAATAGCTATCACTGAGACAAAGTTAACATAACTATCAGATACTGTATATCCAGCTGGATACCAAGTGTTAATTAAGGAAGATCAAAGAAATATCGTTCGAGGAAGAGTGGCATTATTAATTAGAAATCAATGGAGTTTTGAAGTAGTGAGAGGAGTAAACAGACTAGAAGAAAATTTCAAAGTGTGTTATGTTAAGAATGGTAAACTGAAAGTAATTGTTCCACTGCTATAAAACCCGCCACTTAATATCAGGAGACGAAGGCAGGAATTTGAGGACAACCACCAAGCGATGGCTGACATCATAGCAGAAGCAGCCAAGAGTGCATTCAGAGCTAAAGCGAAGCTACTTTATAATGAAAGATTTCAACTACAAAGAGCCCAAGAGACTAACAAGAGGAGGATATAGTGAACACACTCAGTACTACAGTATAGGATGGAAGACGCAGCAAACTAATTAATTTGTGGCTGAAAAGGAGCCCAGAAGATACAGCAAGACCCCTCACAACACAACCAGGACACATCATAATAGCCTCTCGATACAATCTCGTGCGACGACACTTTATCATGAGTGGTGAAAGACGTTGTTGTGGCACCACCAACCAGCCTCATCACTGTGTGGCTGTGGCTCCGTCTCGTCCACTCACACGTGGCTGTCTTCCACGACCGCCCACTCACCGCTGACCTGACAACGCTAGTGCTCTTCAACGCATTTCGTAGGGTAAAAGAAACATCATCTTACCGTCATGTGATTACACTCAAAAGAGATGACTTGATGCCGGTGAGGGGCTCTTGATCCAAGGAACCAGACATATCCCATTTTCCAGGGTCTATATAACCCTTATAGGTTTAACACTTCTCCCCTGATGAAAATAAAATTGGTTTGTCAGTTACGAGAGGCAAGCGCCTCCTCTTCTAAACTTTCGTTGTTCTTTGAGGTGTAGCATAACGGAAATTTCATTAAGTTTAGGTTACGTTGTTTGACTAGTTTTAGTGAAAAAAATAAAAATTTGCATAATATCCTCTCTTTATGTATAACGGGAATTACCAACAGGCCCCTGGCTGTCTTCAAGACAGAACTCGACAAATTCCTCATCTCAGTTCCTGATCAGCCGGGGCTGTGGTGAATACATCGGACTGCGGGCAGAAAGTACCAACAAACTGAACGATCAAGCTAGGGAGCCGTGACCTCCGGAAGCTATTACAGGTAACGCACAAGTAGCTGTAGTTAACTGTTTCTCTGGGAGTGGGGTGAGAGAGTTCAGGTGATCTTGTGCTAATGATTGTGACTGCAGGTGTTAATAATCTTCCCAACACACTTAACAATTTTAATAACGTTACGGCAGGTGCTCTGTCTGCCACCTTTGTGGAGTGGGTTATCTTTTTTTTTGAGAGAGAGTTCGTGACATGATACATGTGTCCAGACTGTCTATTAGTTACTGTGAGGAAGTTTTTCAAGTCTTGGTGAATATATTACATGAGCAGTGTGCGGTCGTCAACACAAGAGGGAAGACCTAGTTTAGGGTTATGTAAGAAATGAAAATAAAGTTTTGTGTAATAATATTGGTAAAATTACCGACAATATGTTAAGTAAAAGAACAAAAGTGTAACTAATGTGACATTTTATTGTGGCAACGTTTCGCTCTCCAGGAGCTTTGTCAAGGCGTTACTGTTTGACGAAGCTCCTGAAGAGCGAAACAGTGCCACAATAAAATGTCTCATTAGTTGGACTTGTGTCATTTTACTTAACACAAAGTTTGGAGTCTCCCTGATGAAAGACTTCCGAAGGTTGTCATCCTGTAGTGTAAGAGCTGACTCACCACGGAGTCGTACTGAGTCTCCGGTGTCTCGCTCATTTCTTTGTCGTCAGTAAAATCATCTTCCCTAAACAGGGACCCGCTATCAAATGTGACTTTTGTATTTGATTTTACACCTGACTAAAACTATTTTAGATTACTTTTAATTCTGCAGCTAGATGATGATGATGATGATGATGATGATGATGATGATGATGATGATGATGATGATGATGATGATGATGATGATGATGATGATGATGATGATGATGATGATGATGATGATTACTGCTGCGCCTCTCTTCTGCTCTTTGTATTATGTTTCAAAGTTAACTCGATGTTTTCTGTTTCTTTAATATGTACTTGTTGTCGCAGTGGTGTGTGTGCAACCTCTGAGAGTTATGACTCTCTCTCTGTCTGTCTCTCTCTTTCTCTCTCTCTCTCTCTCTCTCTCTCTCTCTCTCTCTCTCTCTCTCTCTCTCTGTCTCTCTCTCTCTCTCTCTCTCTCTCTCTCTCTCTCTCTCTCTCTCTCTCTCTCTCTCTTCTCTTTCTCTCTCTCTCTCTCTGTCTCTGTCTCTGTCTCTCTTTCTCTCTGTCTCTCTCTCTCTCTCTCTCTCTCTGTCTCTGTCTCTGTCTCTCTCCTCTCTCTCTCTCTCTCTCTCTCTGTCTCTCTCTCTCTCTCTCTCTCTCTCTCTGTCTCTGTCTCTGTCTCTGTCTCTCTGTCTCTCTGTCTCTCTCTCTCTCTCTCTCTGTCTCTGTCTCTGTCTCTGCTCTCTCTGTTCTCTCTCTCTCTCTCTCTCTCTCTCTCTCTCTCTCTCTCTCTCTCTTCTCTCTTCTCTGTCTCTCTCTCTCTCTTCCTCTCTCTCTCTCTCTCTCTCTCTCTCTCTCTCTCTGTCTCTCTCTCTATCTCTGTCCTCTCTCTCTCTCTCTCTCTCTCTCTCTCTCTCTGTCTCCTGTCTCTCTCTCTCTCTCTCTCTCTCTCTCTCCTCTCTCTCTCTCTCTGTCTCTGTCTCTGTCTCTCTGTCTCTCTCTCTCTCTCTCTCTCTCTGTCTCTGTCTCTGTCTCTCTCTCTCTCTCTCTCTCTCTCTCTCTCTCTCTGGTCTGTCTCTCTCTCTCTCTCTCTCTCTCTCTCTCTCTCTCTCTCTCTCTCTCTCTCTCTCTCTCTCTCTCCTGTCTCTGTCTCTGCCTCTGTCTCTGTCTCTGTCTCTCTGTCTCTCTGTCTCTCTCTCTCACTGTCAGTAAAGGTTGTGTTATTCTTTCAGACTTTCATTATCATCTACTTTTCTTGATGTTATGACTCTGGAACAAAGTTTAAGCGCCACTGAGCTCATGTTACACACAAACACTGTCATCATAACTACCATCAAGGATTTTAGAAAACTGACGGGCTGATAAATGGAAATGTTTCGCCAGCCACGTGGCTTCTTCAGTCCAGTACAGAGAAGAACGGTAGAAGGTGAGAAGGAGTTTGAGGTAATCAGTCCTCAGCCTTGAATCGATGTTTTCAGTCCATCAATCTTGATAAAAAAATTGATGGACTGATAACATAGACTCCCGGACGAGGGACTTATTACCTCAAACTCCTCCTCACCTTCCACCGTTCTTCTCTGTACGGACTGAAGACGACATGACTGGCAAAAACGTTTCCAGAACAAAAATACCCAAATGTTGCATGTGTCTCAATTATCAACTACCATCAACACGCTCCCTCTCTCTCTCCTCTCCACACACACACCCTCCCACCCCCCACACACACACACACACACACACCCCACACACACACACACACACACACACACAGAAGGTAAACATGACAGCTAACAAAATCTTAAAGGAACTGAGAGGGTAGACAGGGACAGACTGTACTGAGAGGACCTGGATCACAAGGATACAGGTAGAAGTTGAAAGATAAAGATGAGACACAGGGATTTTGGAAGAGTTTCTTTAGTCTCAGGGTGGTTGACAAGTGCAATGATTTGCATGAGACAGTGGTGGAGGAAAACTTAATACACAGCTTCAAGAGTAGAAGAGTACAAGGGGGAGAGGGAAGGTGGTGTAAGTACGAGGCGAGCTAGGGTGGGGTTAGAGGCAGAATAGGAGGCAGGGTAGGAGGCAGGGTAGAAGGCAGGGTAGGAGACGGGGTATGAGGCGGGGTAGGAAGTAGGGTAGGAGGCAGGGTAGGAAGCAGCGTAGGAGACGAGGTAAAAGGCGACGTAGGAGGCAGGGTAGGAGAAAGGGTAGGAGAAAGGGTAGGAGGCAGGGTAGCAGCAGGGTAGGAGGCAGTGTAAAGGGGGCAAGGGAAGAGGCGAGGTAGAAGCCAGGGTGGAGGCGAGGTAGGAAGCTGCGTAGGAGACGAGGTAGGAAGCAGAGTCGGAGACGAGGTAGGAGGCAGGGTAGGGGGAAGGGTAGAGGCGAGGTAGGAGGCGGTAGGAGGTGAGGTAGGAGGTGAGGTAGGAGGTGAGGTAGGAGGCGGGTAAGGCGGGTAGGAGGTGAGGTAAAAGGCGGGGTAGGAGGCGGGGGGGGGGTGTTAGGAAGAGTAAGGACAAGAGGGGATGGGAACAATGGAAAATTAAGTAAGATTAGTGAGACGAATGAGTGTACAAATGAGAACAATGGGGGAGAGGGGAGAAGCTAGATACACAGATTAGAATGGTTGGAGAATCTGAACAAAGAAGAGAAAGGGGAGCGGGAAAAAACGTAGAGAAGAGAACGCAGGGAAATTAAGGAAAGTGATACAAAAAGTGCGAAGATATCTGAAAGAGTGGCTAAGAAATATTAAGGAAGCAGAGTTAAGAAATGCCGGGAAGAAGCAAAGAGGAGAAATACTTGGAAGAAAAGCGAAGTTGAGAAATATTTGAAATGTACTGAGAAGCAAAGAAGAGAGGAAGGAAGAGCGGACAAATGAAGATCCCCGAAGCAAATGATAGGATAAGGAAAGATAAAGGGGCGATATACTAAAGAAAAGAGACAATGAAACAGATGAGAGAAG